CGAGCTAAAAATGTAGGTCGCGAAATTATGTGTTCGCATCGCGTGTACTCTTATCCCGGGCATAAAGAGAGCCGGATCCGCGCGCGCTGCATTGTGTTAACACAAAAAACTCGCGTTACGTAGGCTTATTTCCAAGATAAGAGTATGGAGAAGCTAGCAAAAAGAGGAACGGCGTGACGCATATGACTCGAATTGGATATTTCTTATGTGGACGCGCCAAGAGATAAGAAGCTACAAATGTATACGATACATACATGCAGTGCATTGTTAGCGACGAGAGCCTTCTGCGAATAAAATATAAAGGATAAGTCAGTCACGTGGATAGAGGCAAAAAGAGACGCTTGCAACATTGGATTAGATGTGTATTTCATGGAATACGCGCAAATGGATTCACGAGGTGAATAGGAAAAACCTCAATCATGCGTCGAAAGTAATAATTAACATTGGGTATTTTAAGCTACAAAAGACACTTTGATGTGAAATAATCAAATAAAGAAGTAAGAGAGCTTAAGAGCTATTTCCTTAAAATAAACTCAAAATCGAGTCAATTTTTCCTGTTGCATAGTTAATAAACAATTTAAAAACGCGAAAAGTTTTATTCGTTTGTACTTACCCGATACATTCATATTCATGTATGACTTATATTGCAAAAGTTTCCATGCGTTAATATTTGGTTCTATCCGCGCTCCCTCGTACTTTACCGTTCTGTATATGCGGCTCGCATGGACCACGGGCATGAGATATTTCATTAAAAGTGAAAAGAGATGAAACGGGCTCATGATATTCAACGTAAGCCACTGTGAAGACATATGCATACTAATTAAAACGAAAATGGAAATTTGCAAAGATTCCAGTCCAGAAAGATGGTTACTAAATAATTTTTAGCTCGATGCACGATCATTATATGATTGAAAAATTCAAATCATAACGCATCCTCGTCAATTTTTTCATATAACATAATTTAGGACGCATATACTCGAGCGATAGCTGCTGCAAATGCCGCGCGCGCGAAGTAAACGGTCATTACGGGCGGGAACTAATGCAAAGGGTGCGAGAGAGAGAGCTTTTGTACATCTACGGGCAACGGACCAAGCACTGGTACACGGAGGCTGGCGCAGCGCACGTGTAAACAAAACCACCGGCGCTTGATTATTCAAGCATAGATTTATAAACTCTGCGCGTTGTTCTGATACTGTATGCAATTTATAGTTCATTGTGCTGTGCGAGGCTGCGCTCATAGAGTACGGAAGCCAAGCCATCAGTAGCAGCAGTAGCACCGTAGGTAGCTCCGTATAATCGAGAAACTATATATATTACGTATTATACGTACGTATATACTACTATGTGCGTGGCTGTGCGCGCGAGCATTAGCGCGCGACTGCATTTTGGTCATTATTGCGAAAGATACGCCAAATGTATTGGACGCTCTTGCTTATATATACGCGAGTACGTATAGTATGCATATTTCTGGCGAAATTGTGAAATTGAACCGATGCGCAAACGCATATATATAGATGCATATACGCAGACGCTCACACTCACGCACGTTCATATACGTGTATATGAAATTCTCTCGCTTCGCGTTTTTTTCTCGCCTCGGCGAGTCCTGTCATGTATGAAATGATGGGAATTCGTAATGAGACGAATGATTGATGGCTCTCGGTAATGCGTATACAGGCAAATTTCGTTTTCTCTGCCTCTTCTTTATCTCTCTTTCTCATCTCACTCTCTCTCTTTTGCTCTCTGCCAGCACTCGGTATTACTTTTATTTTTTCTTTATTTGCAAAAGTGCAGCTCGACACCGCGCACATATACATACGTTTGTGTAAGGAGAATGCAGGCGGCATGATTAGTCTGTCGATGCTGTAATGATTTATAGACAGAAATACGTACTTCTGAAAAATGAGGTAGAAATGAAATGAGAAATAATATCGTATACGTATATACTCGCCTCCGATATAAAGAGTAACTCGCTGCGGAGATGATACAGTACACGCGCAGCAGCGGTTACGCTACACAGCTCGATCAGCTGATATATATATTACCTAGACGCGAGCAAATATCAAAGTTCAAAAGTCTAATCATATAAATACGCGTCTGAAGTTTGAACTGCGGCGGTAATAAAACGTTGTCGTAATACTTGTATGTGTAGCTATCGCTGCGCTATATACATCGGCGACTTTTACGCTGTTGGATCTTGCAGCGCAATATAAATACGCTACAGTAGTTACTGTCAGCGAAGCACACACGGCTTGTCCTTTGGATGCTGTATAGAGAGAGACGATACGCACCTATAACACATGCGCGCGTTGACTCATTTCGGAAATTTTTTTATGCCGCACTTCGTCATTTTTTTCCCTTTTTTTTATATCCCATACGTTGCGCGCTTGTGTACGTTGTGTGCTGCGCTACTCTATATACAACACACACACACACACATGCGGACAAGTATCGCAACTCGCAAACTATATTGAGTCGCTACATAGCAGCACGGCGCGTACTGTTACGTGTAATAAATTATCGTATCCTGCGCGCAGCTTGTGTGTATAGCTATATGGGCGCTCGGCGACAATTTTTACTTTTTTTTTCATCCCTGCTCTTTTTTTTCAATATCGACCCAATAAATAAGGGCGCATGCAGGAACTCAAGAGCATAGCGAGAGAGAGAGAAAGCACATACCACGATATTAACTCCTGCTCGACTATATATTTATGTAGAGGGAGGCCAGCAGAGAACAGCGCGCCGAGTGCTTTGTAGTGGTTGCAAAAGTAATAATATGACGATACGAAGCCCTTTAGCGACTACTCGAAACACTGGCCTGGAGTAGCTTTTAAAAATCGCTCACTGCCCGACTTTTTTTTCTCCCTCTCTTTCTTTCTCTCTGATTTTTGAGGGGGTAAGGGTTACACGCACGTAATATACGTTTAAGTTCTAATAATGGCTCGCGGTGTGAATATAAAACGCCTGCGTATGCGATATTCCTTTGTTGGCTGCGCGAGAGCACGCGAGCTGATGATTTTTGATTTATATTCGCTTATGAGGGGATCGCGGGGGGATAAAAAGTGTCGGGAAACAAACTGGTGGCTTTACGATGCTGCCACCGCCGCCGCCGTCGTCGTCGTCGTGCATATATATAGGCTAAGCGGATAGGGTAGGTGTGATGGTTAAAGGAAAGAGGATGTTACACCAAGTAGTTATACGTAGCAAGAACTTGCGAGTATTTATATTTTGCGCCAAGAGAGAAAGAGAGAGAGAGAGAGAGACAGAGCTAGAACGAGAAAAGTGTGCCTACTCCGATAAATCATCATTTAAAACTACCTCGGCAGCGCAGCGCTGCGCCTTACACGTGGAAGGAACTTGGAACTAAAGTCCTGCATTATAAGCTCATAATACTTTGCTCCTGAGAAATTGCCTTGTAAATTCATATAAAGTGTCACTGCCTTGATACTTATATATTACGCTCGCTGACGCGCATGAGCTTTTGCGTCGAGGGATGACTTTTGTTTTGACTTCATATAGCTTTTTTTTCATTCCTTTTTATAAATAAATAAATCAAACGAAAGTGTTGAAATAATTTTTTCATCTCGGAGCAACCCCTGCACGGTCGATAAAAGTTTTTCGTTTCGAGTACTGGCGCTAAAGTAATCGCCGTGAACAATTCAAGTTTAGCATCTCGTAAAAAATATTTCCTTAAGCCATAAAAAGCAAACATAAATTCGCCGGCCTGCTCGTCGGGTGCGCGTCGGCCGTGTACAGTGTATATATCAATCAAATTGCTCATATTCGTCCAGATGAATCATCCGCGTGTATATGTTTTCTTTTCAACGTTATCAATTGTGTTTTGCTCGCATAAAAAAAGTAAAAAGACATCGCACATGCCACTGCATAAACGAATTCGAATAACAAAAGAAAAATGACATAATTTCGATTTTGCGCGTTACCGTATAGTCGGGGCTTGTTGTTCGGGTTTGTGCACTGCTTGCAAAAATTGCGCATACGTGTGCACGCGTAACAATCTCGTCGCGTATCATCTGCACAATAATATACAGGGGGTCAGCGCAACATTGCACTATTCTCCCCCTCTCTCCTCTCGGCATGTATATTATACTTAAGTACACGTAATAAGTCACACTAAATCCCATTATTCGCGATTGTTCGGCCTGGCTAGACCAGACTCCCTTGTTCCTTTAGGTACGGTAGTGCACAAAACCCTAATAACCCATGAAATGATGATGGCGCGCAGCCCGACCTAGCCCCAGCGCTTGTATATATTATTATTATATATATAAAAGCGAAACCGAAGTAGAAAAAAAATCTCGGCAGCATCCGTCAAGCGTATACAGGCTTTATGTATTTTTTTTGTAGAGTATTTTTCGCTTTTCTCTTACATCTATCGGCCCTTGAAAAAGGTCGAGGGGGTCGCGCTCACAGCACCCTGTTCGGAAACTCATCTTTATTTCACTCTCCTTCTTTTACCCTTGGACCCTCTCAAGAGAACGAACAGTGTGCTACGCTATTCGAGGGGTTCTTCATCGCGTTGGACTTGTTTCCATCTCTCTCTCTCTCTCTCTCTCTCTTTTGACTTTATACTATAATCTTACAGTATACTCGTACTTTCAACCAGGGGGTACGATGTATATGTACTAGCGATGTTGTTGGGTTATGAATTTTTTCTTTAAAATTGTATACATTTTTGCCTTTTCTTATTTTTCCACATTCGCCTCGAGAAAATATATTTGCTCTGAGAGAAATATTAATGAGGAATGTCAAGCTTTTTCTTTGCTGTAAAAGCTATTTTATGAGCTGATCGAAATCCCAATTACTTTCGGTAGCTAATATATTTTTTTTATGCAGGATGAGATTTAAACCACATTTAAAGCTTTACAAATCGAATTGCTCTTTTTAAGATTCAACTTTTCTATTATTAGCTTTACGATAAACATACATAAATATAATATGGAAATTCAGTTATTTTAAAAATTTCATTTTCTTTGTTTCAGCACTATTGATCTTAAATCAACAAAAACAAATTACGAATTGACAGACGGATCAATTTTAGAATCGTCAACTTTAAGTAGTATACATAAAACGGTGAGTTTTTATCATGCAAATTTAATCTTTCCACAAATAAACCAATAAAATAAATACGATAAGAATGCTAAATTATGTTTTGTTTTGGCGAGTAAACAGTGGAATAATTCGATTTCTCAAATTATGTTACAGAAAAAAATCAACAGGCCTGTATCGTTTTTGGCCGCCCACCATTTCGCATCATCGAAGTAGCTTTGTCAAAATGAAATCCGCAGCAATTTTTACGCCACGTCCTCATAATTGTCTTCATTCCTTGAACATTCGTCGATAGCTTTGTAGTATAGTAACAAAAAATAAAAGTGCATACGTGAGAGAAAAGTGTGTCATTGTAGAAGGATCCTGATGAGCGTTCATGCGGTCATGTATGGCGCAATGACAACCTGAAAATTTGTGCGTGTGTGTCATTTGTCGCAACGAAATACGTAAAGAAAAAAAAAAGATTTTTCTCTCTTCCCTATCTGGTAAAACATTATTAGCAAAATTATATAAATATATAAAAATAAAGTTTGCTATTTTCATCGTAAATAAAAGGAATTATGTAAGAAAACAAAATTAAATTTTAAGAAGTTAAAGTTAATTATACGAGCGATAATGTGAGTGTAAATAAAGCATTTTGTATATTTGTAATATATATTCATAAGTTAACTAATTATTATGAAATTAATAAATTTGTGTATATAAAAGTTCACGAATACATACTGAAAATACCATACAATGAGGTGAAATTTTTTATAATCCTTTTGTCAAAAGCTCTGTTTAATAAATTGACTTAATAATTTTATGAATTACAAGTTTGCTCTTATAATTTCACTGAATATGACAATTGAAACAGGTTCGAGTAATCAATTTGTCGAGCTTGCAGCAGAGTCTTTGCACGATGCGCACAACAAAGTCATTCGAAACAGAACGACACGACAAGTGAATAATAAAAAGTGTAAAGCCCGTAACAAATCTTTTCCGCATTCGACATATTTTCCCTTGGCACAGGTTGTTCAAAAGCAGCTTTTAACAGCTCCATAAAGCTTCCAACATAGTCCATAAAGCCACCACCCCCCTGCGTGCGTGCGAGCGAGGCAGTATATACTGCTAGCGAGGCAGAGGCAAGGCAGCTGCGAGCAACGACGGAGCGACAAGTCGAAGATTCCGGTGAGTATATATTGTCGCGCGTGTAATAAGTAATCCTCGCGCGCTTGCAAGGGTGTGCACGAGTACAAGAGGACAAAACCGCGGGCCCGAATGAAAAAATCGACATTTAGCCGCACGTCGCGCTGCTGCTCGCAAAGAGGTGCCCACGACGAGGCAGTAAAGAGCATAATCGTCGTGCGGGTGGCTACGCTAGCTGCTGGTGGTAAAAATTCTTCGAGCCATTAGCTGACGTATAAACTGCTGCCGCTACGCTGCGCTTCAGCCCATATAGATGTGTACCAGGCCCGGTATACACGCGTATACATATACGTAGACAGAGAGAGAGAGAGAGAGAGAGAGCGAGTCGTTCTACCATTAGCATTCGTAATGCTACACGTGCAGCAGCGAATATTCATCAGGAGCGCTGCCGGTGAGGGATTTTAAAACCACCTCCGGTCTTTACTCACCACCAACCATCGCTTTACTCACTCGACTATACATGTATACTACACGCGCGTTCGCACGATAATATATATAGTCGAGCTTTTTCGGGCCTTCGGTTAAGAGCTTTGCGCGTTTTAACTCGCGTCTCTAGCAGCTCCATTCGCTTCGGCTGCTGCTGCTGCTGCGTACCTACTTCTTCTATCGCAGTCCCTATTTACAGCCTCGATCGGGCCAATCTACACACGTTCGTACAGTGTACGTGGCGCAGTTTTTTTTTACCCAAGGTCGTTTGACCTCTATAACGTGCCCGGAAAGCGCAAAAATTATGCTAAGCAAGTTCCGAAAGGAGCTGTGCATATAGAGACGCTTCGCTGCGTGCCTGCACGCGTGTAATGCACGCGCGCGCTAAGTTTTCTCCGCATACATTGACCCATACAAGAGGGAAACAAGCGAGAAACGAACGAGTCTACGTGTGGGTGCGTGCGTGAGCTTGAAATGATATTTTGCCGCTATTCATTATTATGCTAGAGAACTCTTGGAAATCTCAATTCCACCGAAAAACTCCCGAGAACATTCGAATATGTAATGCAATACGACGTCTGCTGTTTTGGCTGGAGGAAAAGAAAAGATTTTTCTTCTTTTCTTCCGAGCTCTCCGTTCGTTAAAAAAGGCAGAGAGCGGCGAATGCAAATTCGCCGTGCAAGCTCGAGCGAGCATTTATTTTTTGTACATATTCTTTGAACGAAAGAAACGTAAGTAACTGCGCGCCGCATGAAAATTTCAAATATTCGCAAGGCGAATGCGTGCATTTATATATATATATATGTATCGCACGACGGCAGTAGTACATATCCAGGTAGAGATGCGCTTATTACTGTCAGACGTACGCTGCGCTGCGTACGCGCGGAAGGAGAGCGTATTACGCGGCACGCATGTACGCATATACGAACGGCGCAGCTAAGGCATGCATTAACTTGCTCCTGCATGCGCATATACGTATACAATATACATACATATAAGTATTTTAAACAACATCGCAATATGCCGCGCTGTTTCGTCGAATGCATGCGCTTTCTATTATTTTTCTGCCTGCCGCTGCTGCTGTTGCAGTATATACGCGACGTACGCGCGAGCTTCATTCCATTCGTCTCGGCTGAGACACACCACTCTCTCTCCCTTTCTCTGTGTCATATTCTCCGGGCGTTTGTTAGCCCGGGAATTCCCCGCGTAAAATTGCATTGTTTGCATGCATTATAAGATCGCGTATGTTTATTACGTCGGTGGTGTATATATTGTAGAGGCGAGAGCTCGATGAGTTATAATCGCCACGGCGTCGATGGCATGTCGCGAGAATCGATCGCGGCCGATATCGCGCGACTTGTACTTCTTTTCAAGTGTCGAACATTTACTTTTATCGATTCGAGGCTGCAATTTCAGCTCCACGTGCACACGCATAAAAGATTCTCTTCTTCATCTTCTCTTTCTGCTTCTTATTTTTTTTTTTTTTCATTTTTAGCTGTTACGGGCACGACTCCCTGCAACACCTATGCTACATATACACTTTCGCATGGTAATCGCCTACTGCAAGCAAGGCCGTCGTCGCGTACGCGACTAGTCTAGACGTAAATATGTGCCGCACACCATATGGGCTTTGGGTATACATGAGCCGTACTTTTAAGCTATACTCCTTTTACGAGATTCTTTTTCGTCGTCATAGTAGTCGCGACTCGAGTATATAAGGCAAGTGCAGGCGCGCGCGCCCGAGAGTACGTGTACGCGACAACGAGTATAAGTGGTCGTCATCGTCAGCCACGACGAAAAAGCTTCGCGACGCGACGCGGAAGGGCTGAGAGGAGTTAAAATCCAGGCTGTACGAGGCTCGAGCTTTGCATGTATACTGCGTGCACCGGCAATGCGTTGATGGTACAGCCAAAATATCACGTATGACACGTATCGTGAAAAAATATGGAGAAATTTCTTTTTATCTCGACGCAATGGGGCGCGGCTTTTAGCGCGAAAGCTCGTACATACGCGCTCGCGAGAACTCGATGCTGATTTTATGCCGAAGCATGGAGTTTCGAGCTTTCGAGCGCATCTGCTTTACATAAACCTCGATAATGAATGGGGAATTTCATCGAATCAATTCCAGTGTAAATAAGTATCTTATCGTTACATAACAGGATTGATTTTCCACGCTCGCTTTATGATTCAAGCATATTGTCAATGTAATATATCCAATGTAGATTCGCACAAAAGGGCCTATTGTCAAACTGCCCTCCGTTCGTTTTTTTATCCTTCGCGTGTAATGTTTCACGCTGGATCGCTGGATATCACACTTCCTGTGGTATACTGACCTTCACAGAGCCGCGACTCTCTTGGATTTCGTGGCAAACTTTGCATCATGGGCGTGAGCTTGCGACAGATAGGATTCTTATGCTGCTTATCAAGTATAATTTAATCTAACGATGCCTCATATTTCATCGTGAGTAAACTTGCTACTTCTGGCTTTTCTCCTGCGGCTATCTGCGAGATTAGTGCTCGAGGGCCAACAAAAGTTGCCCGAATCGACAGATATTTTTCCTCAAAAGCAATATTTCTTCGGCGAGCCAACTTGTTTACAACCCCCCACACGGCAGTCCTGTTCACTCTTCCATCGTCTAGGTATATACAAGACTTACGCTTTTCACCATACATCACGCCGCAATCTCATGACCAAACAATGTACGTTCGAAGAATAATAATAAAAAGGAGGATCAAAGTGCGCAAGACATTTTAAAAACTTTTCTAATATTTTGAAGACTGCCGCGCGGCGCTTGCTTATATAAAGGGGGTGCGCGCGAAGAGAAAATATCTCGGATTCTGGGCGCAAAAATGAAGTTCATAAAAGCGACCATTTAGAAACTCGTAGTGGCCCAACGTCCATTTTGTACATGTGTGTGTATACATATATTCTAGGCAAAATAACCGCGCTCTCACTCCATTATAATACTTTCAGCTTATAGCGAGACTGTGTGGTACATACCGCGTGGGTACATTGAAATTTAGGAATAGCCGCATGCTTGCACATGCTTTTCTTTTGCCTCTTTCTTTTTGTATTAACAAACAACGCACTCGGGAGAAGAAGAAAATTACGAGGAAAAGGGAAAAGTTTCTTTGCTACGCTGATATCATTTATATGTATACACGACTGCGCTACCCGCGTATAATACACAGAGACTACTTGTTACGAGAATTTTCTTTTTTCCTTCATTGCGCGCGCATATATATACTTGCTCATCGTTACATAAAAAATAACTCGAATAGCTTGCCGCCGAGGGTTGAACAATGAAATCTTTAGAAATTCTTTTTACTAACGCTGCTGCGCGTGCGAGGAAATTCTATGTATATCGTGTATTTTGCTTGAGATGGGGTGTCGACGGCACCGGAGCGAA